CTTATATATATATATATATATATATATATATATATTTATAATTAACTTTATTGTTATAGGTACATGGACACTATCATAGTGGACCAAGGTCAGACAATGTATGGCTTTTTTGAACCTCAGGTCATTAAACCATTTAGTTACACAACAAAAAATAAGCAATCATATATGCAAACATGAATGACTTGAGTCTAAAAGAGAGTTGTATATCACGCCATACATGAGTATGTGTTACTCAATATTGTCCACTTTTATGAACATTTAATTAATCGACTCACTATTTGTGATTCATGATAGGAGTTATTGACAAGTGATAATGATCACACCAAGACAAGCTCAAGTTTTATGGTTTTACTCCCTGCATAGGAAGATGAAATCTGACTTGAAATCCTTGTTACAAACTTAAGTACTACATTCTTTCATATTAATTCATTATGATATTAATATATTAACTTGTGTTTCAAATGTTTAAATTTAGTTTAGAGTTGTGGGTCTACCCAGAGCAAAGTAAATTAAAATAATACATCCTAAGGTTGATATTCATTGATCTTTAGCTTATTAATTTTTGTATGTGAATTTTAGACTATCATATTTGTTTATTTTCTTTGCCATGTTTAGTATAAAAAATAGACATATTCATAGGTATGCGAGTACTACATAATGTTACGGATGAAGACCATCATCCAAGGAGGAAATAAAGATGATTGATAATAATTTAGTTTTGAAATCTTACAAATCACATTCAACTTTCAACTTTATAATAAAAATAATAGTAAAGTTTTCTTGTTTTTGTAGCGGTTCAACAATCCATCCTCATTAACAGATTCCACAATCAAGAAGCTAAGGCGGAAATGAGTAGGATATCTTTTGGAAAGATGGAGTTAGATTACAATAGTTTACTTTCAATTTTTTTTTTATATTAATAGCTTTAGTTTTAGTTTTTGGTTTTGTTACAGTTTGAAATATGAATAGATGAATTATGAATATATCAAATAAAAAAAAACTGGTTTTCTGATTTTCAAGCGTGATAAAATTCAAAAAACGAATCTTTTATTAAAAAAAACTATGTAAATGTCGGACTATACACTAATCGACATTAAATTACGTCAATTGACATCGACCTATACATTTATCGACGTCAACTCACTCATAGTGTCACCCCAGAGAAAAACTTTCACAAAAAGAAATATGTTGTGACTCAACGATCTTAACGTTAGTCTTCATAAAACTAGACGTCAAACCCCTTTTCATTTCACAAAAACCACCCCTGACATTAAATATATGAGTGCTATAGAAATTTAACGTCATGTGATGTTGTTATCGTATTAAGACCAGAAAACACCAACATTGAAGCCTTCTTCTGCACTAGTGTATATATATATATATATATATATATATATATATATATATATATATATATATTAAGTATGACAAATATAAATACTAAACTATTCAATGTATAAATCATTTTCAGTGTTGCATTTTAAGAAATGGAATATTATTTTTATGAAAATAATCATATTACAAGTAATTACAAACAAATTTTATATGATTATAAAAAAAAATTATTATAACTATAGGACATAAAATTTTAATAGAGATAAATTTAAATGAAAAAATATATTTTATGATAAATTAAATCAATCTAAAACTTTATTTTCTCTAAATCCTTTTAAATATCAAAGAATAACTAAGATATTTTCTATACCTCAAATATTAGTATTTCAAAAGAGAAAGTCTTAAATTGTTCTGTTTTCTTACATTTAAAACTATTTATAAGACACTTTATATCTCTTTAAAATGGATAATTCTTAAGGGCACTGCTTTTCTATATCTTAAAAACCATATTCTTGGTGTTCAAGGATATGGATTCCAATTATTAGGTTATATGTTTTGTTTGTGAATTTGGAGTTTGGTTGAAATGTTTTTTTTATACAAAATAATATATTATAAATGTATTTAATTTCATTAAATTAAACAAATGATTTTTATTAATTTAACCAAGGTGAAAAATGAGACTAATAAAATACTCCAGCTTCTCCAAGTAATCCTTTTGTTGATGCATTCATTCATCGAGACTCTTCCATAACAGGCATTGAATGCACAAGAATCTTCTGTTTCAAAAGTTTTTTGCATTGAAATTGAATTGAGCAGGTTTGAATTTAATGCAGTCACCAAAGGTTGTAGCGGAACGAGAGTCCCCAAGCACACTGTCATAACATAACAGAGAAAAAGCAAATTTCTTAAAATAGGTAGGTTTTGTTTTAATAAAAGAAAATGATATAAATTTACACATTACGAGGTAAAACAATTATAAAAGAAAAATAAAAAGTAAAAAAATATATTAAATTAATATAAATAATTTGTGTGTTTCAAAGCATTATTTCTATTTTTTTTAGATTCTCATTTTTTTTCAACCCCTTCAAACTTATCATCTCAAAACACTGTTCCTCTCTTCCTTCCAAGAAGAGTTATTTATCAGTAATTCACGTGAAGAACATTGTTCTCTTCAGGTTTATTGTGTTGGTAACTGGTTAGAGCAACTTGAAAACATGAAGCTTTCTTGCCTCTTTGCTTTGCTCTTGGTGGTTGGAGCAACCGTGATGTTCCTTAACATCTTAAGTCCTACCAGGGCCTCCGGTGCATATGTTCTTCTGCTACTTGATTTTGTTACTCTTTATTTCAATAAAGCAAATCTTCAAACTCTTTTTGTTTTCATTTGGTCTTGTTGTGCATGCATATCAGATTTGATTGAAACCAACAGTGGAGATAAAGCCACACGGATTGCAGCAGTAAGCAGGAAACTGAAGGTATGAATGTTTTACAATCCTTGGATTTAAGCTCACGACACTTGATAATGCTGGTGAAAGCAATCAAAACCTAGTTATAATGATGTTATTATTACATGGTAAATTTGATGTGTTAATATTAAGTACCTTGGAAGTAATAATACCCAGAATGAATGTTGATTACTTGTTGAATAATTGATGTAAAACCTCTTACACTTACAAAATGAATGAAAATTTAAACTTTTCTTGTCAGCTTATTTTAATTTCAGTTGAATTTGTATCTTACAAGTGTTTGTGTTTGGTTTGAAATTTTAGGAAAATGGGAATCGTAACAACATTGGTGATATGGGTGAAGTGAGTCTGACTGATTATGATGTTGATCCAGTGCCAACTTCATCAAAGTTCTTGGAACCTGGACCTATTCAACATGGAAGCCCTCTGAATCCTTACATTCCAAAACCTCCACCTCCTGGAGATTATGACTAACTTTCTACTCTCTTGAACCATGTTATGTTAAGTAGATATTATGCTCAGAAGAGAAAGCTATTAAAACTCTTTTAACATATTTCTTTTGATGAAAATAAGAAATTGTTCTTTTACCAGTGTATTTTGTGCCTTTCAGCATCTATGTAGTTATCAATGGACATACTAGGATCATGCGAATTCCTACTTTTGTTGTTCAGTGTTTGTGCAACTCAGAATTTTTATGTTCCTTATGTCTATCCTTCTTACTTACGAAGTATATGAATTTATTTTTGTTACAGATTCTTTATTATTACCAGTCTAAATTCTCATATGGAATAAATAATATATATTTTGAAGATAAAAAAACTATCAAAAGAAAAATCAAAGTTTTAAAATAAAATTAGGATGAGATAATCAAAAAGGATAATTGGTCAACAGCAAGCAACATTCATTCTTCTTTCATTGATATTCATTTTAGCCTATAATGAATAGTAAAAGATATCTTGGAACTTTGTGACTAGCAAATTTTATCACTGATTTATTGGTCGGTTCTTTGAATGTTTTTTTAGTGAATGTTTCAATGAAGGTTTCTTCATTATTTGCGGTGGTGGCTTAAGCAATAGCTGCGCAGGCATTATAAGAATACTGCCATATTTAAAGAAAATGACAGTGATGCTGTACAAGAACTTCATAAGTCAACTCTACGGTTTACAAAATGCATGTATATGGGATATTTATGAATATGGAAGGAAGCATCTAAAGAATATCTATATAGCAATAGATGTAGTTAATATTGTAAAATCTGAGGACATATTTTATCTTTGCAATACATTTTGTTTTACAACAATTCCCTTCGTGTTGAAAAGGATAAGATATAAAAAATAAAATAAAATAAATCTTAATCTTATATAATTGTTTGTCTAATTTGATATAGTATTTTTATTATATGATACTATTAAATATATATTTTAATATTTTTTAAGAACCGATATTTAAGAAATAGTATTTAGTTAAAATAACTTATTTATGTCAAACTTAATAATATATTATGAATAACTGAAAAGCTATCGGTCTTTTGAGATCCATATTTCAAAATGAACTCTAATCTAAGTAAAGCATGATGATGATAACAAGTTATAATTGATGCTTTAATATTACTAAATTTTATTCGTGTACTTATAAAGTTAAATATTTTTAATGGAAATAAAGGATTAACTAAAACATAAGATATAGTTAAGGGTAGCTTTAATTTTCAAAAAAAAGTTTATTAAATTATTAATATGACTAAAATTAATTTGTACATAATAAGGTTTTCTGGTGTATTTTGGAGTCGTTCATAAGTTTGGATTAGGGTCAAGTAGAGATGACAATATAAAACAAGTCATATAAGTTAATTCGTTAGTTTGTAAGAATAAGTGTGAGACGTGTTAACATTTGATTTCGTCTGAAGTAAAAAAAATTTATTTTAAAAAAAATGATTGAAAAATAGGTGGTTAAGTAATTTTTTTCCTTTCTTTAATTAAGTTTGTTAAAAATATTTTTGATGAAAAACTTGGAGAATCTCTTTTTAGAGAAAATAATTAAAAAAACTAAAGAAAAATAGAAAAAGAAAAAAAAAACAAAAGAAGAAAAAAGAAAAGAAAAGAATGAGTTGAGGCCTTTTCTTTTTTCCCAACTCTCTCTAAACTATTTGCTATTTGCAATCCCTTTTACGATTTTGAAACCTTTATCTTTCCTTTTTTCTTTACCTCTATTTTCAATCGACCAACTCATTTTACTGTCAACACCCCACCATTTTCATTTCTACAACCTCTCTAAACAAAGCCCATAACATTCTTAATATCCCCACCATTCTCTTTTGGGGTGTTGCTCCCTCCACCTCCACAGCCTTCTCCCTCCACCTCCCCAATTATCTTTAATTCCAATTATATCCTTAAAGTTAAAATTTTTTATTTTTATTATTTTATTATTTTAATATTTCAATATTTAAATATAAACTAATATAAATATACATTATTAAAATACATTAAAAAGATATTCAAAAATAATAAATCAAAATATTAAAATATCTAATAAAATAATAACAGAAACATAAAATTAAAACAAAGCTTAAACGGATGACATCCTTCAACGGATGTCAACATCCGTTTAAGGCGAAACTTAAACGGATGACATCCTTCAACGGATGTCAACATCCGTTTAAGGCGAAACTTAAACGGATGACATCCTTCAACGGATGTCAACATCCGTTTAAGGCGAAACTTAAACGGATGACATCCTTCAACGGATGTCAACATCCGTTTAAGGCGAAAAAGATGTCGACATCCGTTTTGCCTTAAACGGATGTTGACATCCGTTTTGCCTTAAACGGATGTTGACATCCGTTGAAGGATGTCTTAGGCTTCGTTTTTATTTTACGTTTTAGGGTTAAAGGATTATTGGAAAGATTATTGGAAGGATTATTGGAAGGGTTTAGGGTTTAGGATTATTGGAAGGATTATGACTACGTACCTGGAGAGGAACCACGACAAGCACATTACACCACAAACGCACTGCACCACTTACTGCACCGAAAGCAAGAGGAAGATTGCTTGATAATTCTTTTCACGATCACTGAGCTTTGCAGAAAAATATTTTACTCATACAAGGAACTACGTAGGTTATCAGTGAAATATGTTATAAATGAGTAAAATTAAAAAACAATAATTCTAAAAACAAAATTTTACTGAGGGGCAAAATAGTAAAGGGGAGGTGGAGGGAGAAGGCTGTGGTGGTGGAGGGAGCAACACCCTCTCTTTTGTTTTTCACACCCTTTAGACCAAATCTAATATGTTTTAAAACTCTCACTCCCTACATTTCATTTTCATACCCCATTCTAATGACCCATCTCAACACTCATTCACCTAAAACTTTTTCCACTCATGTGGTGACACATGACACTTTATATTTATGTTCACGAGTAAATGTTTTAGGTGTTTTTAATCTATTTTATACTATAGTTTAAATTATATTTGAAAATTAGTAGTTAAAGAAATACAATTGTATGCACCATCTCTAATCTTAATTAATTGTTATAATATTTTTTAGCTTAACATATACTTGTAAGGCATAACAAAGATAAATCATTAAAACAAGAATTTATTTTTATTGCCACATGTCCACAGACCAACAAAATTAGTCCAAATTTTTTATATGGGTTAGACCAACCCTCACCATTTTTTGGCATGTGTCGAGGGTCTCTAACTTGAATAAATGAACCTCAAAACATTAATTTATAACCAATTTGGCATAGCCACTATTAAAGCGATCACTTATTTATTAGATGTTCTCAAAACACTTCAAACTAATCTCATAGATCTAAAATTATAGTGAAAAAATTGAATCCACCATTTTCTCTTATTTTTCCTTCCAATTGTTATAACATATTGGGAAGTGTGTAGAGAATTTATTATGATACCCCAATAATAATGTGTCAAGTTTAAATGAAAGAGGGCAGCATGGAAGTTTCATTGCATTATTCACTCTGCGGTGCCTGCTGAGATTTTATTGCCATTGCTGTAGCTGTAAATAGAGCATTGGGGAATGAAGAGGCTGATGAGTGACGAGTGATGAGTCTTTAATGCAGTCACTAATGCTTGTTGTGGAATTCGAGCCCCCAAACACGTTATCATCACAGAAAAAGCAACTTCACAAAAGTGTTTGATAATAAAATATTGGGAAATAATTATAGGTAGGTTTTGTTTTAGAACCTCATCTTCTCATTATCTTTGCGCGTTTTGAGGTAGACTTTTTGATTCATCAATCAGCAGTGACTAAAACCACTTTCTTCCAAATAAGAGTTATATTATATCAGTACTCCACTTCTAGGACATTGTCCACTTCAGGTATATTGTGTTGGTAACATGAAGGTTTCTGGCTTCTTTGCTTTGCTCTTGGTGGTTGGAGCAATTTTGATGTTCTTTAACATCTTACTTCCTACTAGTGCATCTTGGACACCTGGTATACACATCTTTCCTTTATTATTTGAGAAAATTTTAGATCTCTTCCAGTAATGCAAAAATCTTAGATTTCTTTGTCAAGTGTTTTGTTCTTATCACCATGCAAGACAAGCTCATCTGTTAAAGACACATGGGGTGTTTTGAATTTTGTGTTTGAACTACTTATGTCTCTTCTCCTTTCAGCAGTTTTTTTTTCTTCCTTTTTTACTTTGGATATCTTTGAAGAGATAAAGGTATGCATGCATTAGTGATGGCAGCTTCCAATCCACAAACTCTTAGAAAAAATCTCATTTTTTTTTCTTCTGTACGATTTTCTGCAGTAGACAAACTGTTTTTGTTATTACTCTGTTGATTGTTTTCCCACTACCAACATGATCCACTGAGTTGAAATTAACTTGGGACAACTTGGTCGCGTTGCTCTAGAATTGTACGACTAATTCATGTATTTAAAGGTTTCAATTTCCAACTACACTATTGATAAAGAGAAAACGGCAACATGCTTTTAAGTTTTAAACATGCAGTTGTAATTTTGTGAGCTAAAATGCATTCGTGTATAGAAATGTAACCCATCTAAATAGAGAATTTTCCCTGTAAGCATTACAAAAATGAAAAAAAAAATATAAATTAAAAGTAGTTTATGTAAATGTTTCTCTGATATTGTTTCCAATTTTTTTAATGAAAAATGTCTGTAAAGATACTCAAAAACCTAAAATGGTACTTAGTACATTTGCTCTGAAAATTAAATTGATTGTATTAACGTGTTCATATACTAGTTGGTAAAAGACACTGATGATTGAGTTCCTATCTTCATCTGCATTTTGATGTTGTGTGTGGCAGCATAATTCAATCATGCATCAATTAATATTTCTTCCCCAATTACATATTACTTTTCTTAATTTTCTTCTCTCATTTTGACTAAGGAGATTATCATGCAGATTATACTGTTCAGATTGTTGAGAACTTAATGTATAACCTGACATTTTTTAATACCATCTCAGATTTCATAGGGACCAATTATGGTGATAAGGCAACTCCGATTGCAGTGAACAGGAAACTGAAGGTATGAATGATTTATAATCCTTGGACTTAAAAGCTCTTGCCCTTTACCTTTCTGGTTAAAGAATCAAAACCTTATTATAATGGGATAAATTTGATGTTAATATTAATCACCTTACAAGTAAAACTAAGATGAATTTTACTTGTTGATTATGTAAAACTTTGTACTCTAACAAGATGCAGAATTAAACTATTGCTGTGAGATGACAGTTTATTTCAGTTGAATTGTATCTTCTAAGTATTCTAATTTGGATTTACTAGACTTTTCTATGGTATTTCTGATAAACACTAATTTTGATGTTTTAAAATACATTAAAAAGATTTTTAAAGTATCAATATCAGAATAATGTTAGTGTTCAACTGAGATTTCAGGATTCTAAGCATTCCCTCTGAAATTTCAGGAAAATGGAAACAATATGAAAAGTGGTATCAAAAACAATGGTGACATGAGTCAAGTAACTCTGACTGATTACTATCCAGCTGATCCACCACCAAATTCTAGAACAAAGGCCTCTTTATATCCTGGACCTATTCAGCATGGAAGCCCTCTGAATCCATACATCCCAAAACCTTCACCTCCTGATCATCCTATACCTGGAGATTCTGACTAACTTTCTGATCTCTTCAACTACGCTAGTAGATGCTATGCTAAAAAGAGGAAGGCTATTCACACTCTTTGAACATATTTCTTTTCATGGGGAAATAAGAAATTGTTCAAAGTATGTGTTGGTAGCATTTCTCATGCTGAAAATGAATATAAGACTCATTCTCACACGTTGTTTAGTCAGTTTTTTGTGCGTTGTTTTGCTTATATTCTGTGTGCTAGTGTTGTGAAAAAACAGTTGTGCCTTTGAGCAGCCTATGCAGTGGCCAATGTACGTACTTATAACTAAGGATCATGCAAATTTCTATTTATATTAGTTTGTGTAAGTGCAACTTGAGTATGTTTATTTTTTCTCTTAGATCGATATATATATCGATATATATATATATATATATATATATATATATATATATATATANTGCACGAACGCCTGTAGATACATGGATTCATACAGTCCGGACGGTCGGTCTTGTGAGAGCTTGAACGATTACTTCTATGCTAATAAATTGTTGTATGTCTTGTATGTTTATTTGTACATGTTAAATTGTATGATGGTTGTATGAATTCAATTACCTAAGCTTACCCTTGCAATTCCTTGTGTTGTCTACTGGTTTTGTACGTCCGTCTTGTCAATGCAATGATCATCCGTGTGGATGTGAGCAGATGGAGAGGCGCTGCTCGAAGAAACACTGGAAGAAGAAAATTTGGAGGACGCCAATCTGATAGAAGTTGAGGTTAAAGCCGAGCAATAGAACGCTCGTTTAGTTGTAGTTATTAGTGTTCTGGATTGTATTTTGGAACGTTCGGTTATTTAAGTTTTGAAAAACCGTTCGTCCAAAACTTGGTATTGTAGAAAATTTCTGAACCCTGTATATCTTTGTACGTTTCTGCTTTTATTAGCTATTGTAATTAAGACTGTACTGTTAATTCTGTAAATGTGATTAGTTCTAATTTATGGTAATTACTATATATTGGGATGTTACAGTATAGAGAAAGGAAAATCGAGGAAAGAGAAAATTGAAAATTTAGAACAGACTAAAAAATAAAATTTTATAAAGTTTTTATTTTCTTCAATGAAAAAAGTATATATATTATTAGCGGTATTTTTTTCTTTCAATTTTCTTTTATTCTAATCCAAACATGTTATTGATTCAATTCTTAGTAGGACTTAATGTTGTATGCTCAACAAAATCATTAATTTATGATATAAAACTTGAAAGTATAAATAATATCTTCACAACTCATGTTAGTCAGTTTTAAAAACCATAATCAACTTAATAAGAAAAGCTATGAATTTGGTATTTTCTTCTCTAATTTTTTTTTCTTTTGATATTTAATTCACCGCTAATAGTTTTCCTATATCCTAGTCTTTCTCTTACAGTGGAAACATAACTTTACACTAGCAAGTTGACACATCAAAGTAGATTTTCTTACACCTGTCGAGAAAAAAAAAAGTTGTTATACTTTGATAAATGTTAGCGTATATATAAAATTTCATGGGGATTTCTTTTATTTGGGTCTGTCATATACTAATACAAAATATTGGTGCTTACAACCAAGATAGATAGCTAGCAACCAATACTTTTGGTTTTTGTTAAACTGTGTTTGGATAGCCCATGTTCGTTTCCAATTTCAACTTACCTAGCTTGAAACTTGTCGTATAATGAGTTTTTTGTGATTCAGTATTAGGATTTTGAAAGGGGTGTTTAAAGAATAAACGATGTTCGATTGATTGAAAGTAATTTTCTTTAATTAATTTGGTTTTTGTTGAAATTGTTATTGTTTTAATGTATCAAACCAATGACAAGTCATGAGACCTAATCGAACATGGATGTTACAAAGAAAGGATTGATTTGGGATGATAAGGGAAGAATTTAAAAATGGAGATGATGATTTCATTCGAATAGGTATTAGAGACCAAACATTTGCTGATATAACAGGACGCATTTCCTGTCCTTGTACATGGTGTAGAAATGGTTATTGAAAGACATCATTTGATAACGTTAAAAATACGATGACGCAACATGATATTTTTTTAAAGAAAAATGATTATTTAACCTTCATAGTTGTAACTTGTAAGAAGGTATCAACTCTGGTACTTGCATATCGTTATTATACTGAGAAATTGTTATATCATAATACAATTAAAGCAAATAATTGTAGTCGGAGGCGTCAATTTTAAACTTCATTGCAGAATCCTCATCATGGGTTAATTTACAAAACCTTTTGGAAATAAAGTTACACAGAAAATGAGTTAATTCACTACATGGTCCTCATCATGCCACAATCCCAATGAAACAACTTATTCCGTTGTATATTTTTGTAATATGCACTGCCAAAATGTTTTTTGAATAGGTATTAATATAGTTTATTATACTAATATATTGTTATGTCTGCTACGTTAATATATAATAACACACTGCACAACACATCATATTTTTCTCAATTAGTATAATAAGAAATAGAGTCAAATAGAGTCAATTAGTATAAAAAGATTGAACCTTGAGATAAGCTATGCAGAGAGTGCAACTTGAGTAGTGAGTGAGCCACCTGTCACTGAGGGTTGCGGTGTCTAGTCTTTGAGATTGCGGGAGTGACAGCGTAGGCAACGACAAAAAACATTGTGGTGGGAAGAGGCTTCTGTTAGCGACAGACCTGGTGCGTACATACGAAGAGAACTGTGACGAAAAGGATAACGGAGAAGAGTATGATGAAGAAGAACAAAGTTCTTTCTCGTATCTCGGGTGACGAGGATATTTAAAAAAATATTTAAACAAAACTATATTATATTTCGGTTATAACCGTAATCAAAACATTAAGGGTATTTGTCTTGGGTTATAAGCTCAATGAAGCTAAATCCATATTTTTTTAATTTTTTAGTTTTTATTTATGACTTAATCCTTTACTTCTTAGTGAATCAAAGCAAAATATTGAACTTATAACTGAGATCATAAATCTATCATTTTTTACCTTGTCTTGATATGTTTGGGTTATAGAATGGAAACAAATATCTAAAATAATCTTTATCATAGTCATTTGTTACACTAGTGCCACTATCCCACGGTGGATTGAGTTAAATTGTAAAATTTTTACACCATCCCATGGTGGATTGAGTTAAATTGTAAAATTTTTAGTTCACCATAAAGTTAGCCGGGTTGGACTCACTCTTTTTCAACCCAACATGTGGTGAGCCAACCCGAGTCACTTTAATATGTCTAGAAGAAAATAGTTAATGAATTGGGATTAGGATACAAGAAGATAAATGCATGTGTTAATCACTGCATGTTGTATAACAGAAAATGGTGACAAGAATGTTTGTTGTACAGTAAAAAAACCACAATTTAAATTGAAGACATCTACAAATAAGAATGATTTTCCTTACTCAATATTGAGATATGTTCCCTTTGTTCCCAGACTTCAATGCCTATATATGTCTAAGAATACTTCAAAATATTTGCATTGGCATGTAGATAGAGTGCATCAAATATGAACTAGTGATGACACATCCATTTGATGCATAGGTTTGGAAGCAATTTAACCATACAAATTTATTATTTTAATCATGTATGTTGGCAATTATGATGTTAAAAGTCCATTTTCATTATGTTCTTTACTTTGATTATTTTGAATGTGATAAATTTGACATGTATCCTATAAATTGTTTGGCAAGATTTATTATATTTTTAATATTGTTATATTTATATTAAATGCGTTTTATAAGAGTATGGAATATTTTGGCCTAATGCATTTTGCTATGATTTTGCTAGAGATTAGCTAATAATAATCTATTACAATTTGCTACGCTTATAGTAGAGATTAGCTAGAGATAAGTTTATAATTTGTTAAGGATCAATTGTTTCACTTTGCTACGGATTAGTTAAAGATTAGCTAGAGAAGAGTTGCTATAATTTGTTACATATCAATTATGGATTAGCTAGGGATAAACTATTATATTTCGGCAAGAAATTTGCTACAAAAGTTTGTTACAGATCAATAAGAATTTGCTACAACAAGTTTGTTATAGATCAGCGAGGAATTTGCTACAAGTTTACTACGAATTAGCTAGGGATTCAGTACAACCAGTTTGCTATTTATTAGTTAAGGATTAACATGTTTTCTTTAGTAAGGCTTTAAAGAGCATTTGCAACGAAATTTCAAAGCATTAGCAACCGAGTAGTTCTTTGCTACTTAACTACCTACATTTAGCTATGACATTATTGTTTCTTTGCTGAATTGTTTTGTAAGGGATGAACGAGAGATTAGTTAAAGATTATTCCATTGCAACTACGTGATTTTCTTATATTGAAATGTATAATTATGGATATCATAAAATAAAAAATACTTTAAAGATCTAAATAAATTTTTTCATATATCAAATTAATCAAACTATTGAGAGATAATAAAAATTGATTTAGCAAAATAAAAAGAATTTTTCAAATAAAAAAAATAAATATTTTGAAATCTGAATTAATTTTATAGTAAGTCAAACATTAAAAAAGAAAAAAAAATAAGAATGTAGGTAAAAAATTATAAAATTGAATACTAAGAATACTATATATATTACTATATAATAAACTGTGAGTTTGTGGTAATTTAAATTAGGACAAGAATGGAAACGAGTGTTAATGTGGCAAGTTTAAATGATAGAGGGCAGCATGGAAGTTTCATTGCCACCATTCACTCTGCGGTGCCTGTTGAGATTTTATTGCCATTGCTGGAGCTTTAAATAGAACATTGGGGAATGAAGAGGCTGATGAGTGATCAGTGATGAGTCTTTAATGCAGTCACTAATGCTTGTTGTGGAATTCGAGTCCTCAAGCACGTTATCATCACAGAAAAAGCAACTTCACAAAAGTGTTTAATAATAAAATATTGGAAAATTTTGAGGTGGACTTTGGTTTCATCAATCAACAGTGACTAAAACCACTTTCTTCCAATAAAGGTTATATTATATCAGTACTCCATTTCTAGGACATTGTCCACTTCAGGTATATTGTGTTGGTAACATGAAGGTTTCTGGCTTCTTTGCTTTGCTCTTGGTGGTTGGAGCAACTTTGATGTTCTTTAACATCTTAATTCCTACTAGTGCATCTTGGTCACCTGGTATACACATCTTCTTTCCTTTATTATTTGAGAAAATTATTAGATCTCTGTAATGCAAAAATCTTAGATTTCTTTGTCAAGTGTTTAGTTGCTATCACCATGTAAGACAAGCTCATCGGTTAAAAGACACATGGGGTGTTTTGAATTTTGTGTTTGAACTACTTATGTTTCTTCCCGTTAAAACTCTTGCAAAAAATCTCATTCTTTTTTTTTTCTTGTGTACGATTTT